GGTACCATAATATCCCCAAATAAAGTACTGCAACACTTTCTCAAGCCGTAGGTCTGTGGTAGGTTGTTCGTCTCTAGAGGGGCGCCCACTTCGAATCTGCAGAGTGGGTGGGCAAGCCAGGATAATTGCGTCGGTCTTACGCCGTCTTGCTACTTAGGTCGCAAGGGAACCTCATCCCCTGTACCTCTAAAGCCCAAACTCTACCTCGGCTTGACCTAACAGGAAACAAGTAATCCCCTCCTCTGACAATTAAAACCCACCCAACCCCTCATGAAAAATATCCGCCCTCAGCAAAGTAGCAGCATATGATGAGGGAAGTATTTGGCAAGCCCGAAATAGGCCCTCTATCATCCCAAATATTTTCCATTTTGTTTTCCTTTCCATTTTTCTTTCTGAGGGTTGTATATCTCCCATAAAATCCCCATATCACAAGATAACCCCTATGTAATCCCTTTGCTCCTGCATGTTGTCCATGTTGAGCACAGGGGTAGAGTTGAAGCTTTGAGCAGAAAAATCTGACCTCATTCGGACTCAGGGTCAAGTCCATGGGAATCATTTCTAGAGGAGATCAGATATGTACACACAATATGTAGGGTTTACAGGGTTGGGGGGGCTGGGGGTGAATGTGCGGATGAACTTGTTTGATGTGTATATGATGTTGATACAGCGATAATTATGTGGAGGGACCGCCAGCTGCGAGCCACAAACCCGGGCGCGTACGCACAGATATGAAATCACGCCGCGCAGACGCGACGGCCAACTCGAGCACAAGTAAGGACACGAGGCGACATCAACAAAGACCTACAGGACACCAGAAAAGGCCTGAGACACGACACGAAGGAATCTGAGGGCCAGAGCTAGGACAGCTGCCGCACGGCTCGCCCACTTGGGCTCTTGATAGTTTTGGAGGACGCGCCCGAATTTTTGACCGCTAGGCCGCTGGACCGCCGATATGCAGCAAATTCAGAGACTTGCAAAGGCTGTCCACTTCCGAGCATTTGCCTGCTCGTGCAGTTACAGATTCAACGAAGTCATGTCCACTCACTGACCCATCTGCTCTGCACTGGGAAACATGAACACAACCATCCTCTGTTCGGGTCACCTGGCTTCTGGAGACATAGCTGTTGGGCAAAGGGCTTAAGCAGCCATGTGAAGGAAGGCTCAGGTCATGCGAAAGGCGAGCGTGTCCCAAAGTAACCCCAGCAGCCCCAGGACCTACCTGAAAACGCCATCTTCAAGGCTCCAGGCCCCTCTCGAGCTTCGGCGCTCTCCACTCGCTAAGCGCAGATGCAGAACATCAGGGTAATAGCAGGAGCGGTAGTGGTTTGCGTGTGGTTGTAGCAGAAGTAGGAGGTGTATGGGTTAAGAGGAGCTGTGGCAACAGCTCCAGCATGGAGAAGCTCAGGCAAAACAAGTCGGCGAAGTCTACTTCTACCGACTACTAGTGGGAGTAGGAGTAGTAGTAGTAGTAGTAGTAGTAGCAGCAGCACTAGCAGCAGCAGCAGCAGCAGCAGCAGCAGCAGCAGCAGCAGTAGCGGTAGCAGTAGCAGTAGCAGCAGTAGTGGTGGTGGTGGTGGTAGTAGTAGTAGTAGCAGCAGTAGCAGCAGCAGCAGTAGCAGTTGTAGGAGCTGGTATCTAGAAGTTCATGTAGTTAGCAGTGGCATAGAACGAAACGATCCTTCGCTCTCAAATAAGAAACAGGAAGCTCCCTGGGCCTCCAAGGACAAATCTCAGTTGAAGAGGACCTACATTTACGAAGAAGGAATATTTTGACATGACTAGGGAATTGCCCACGCTGCTTGACTGCCTAACGCTGGAAAATGCTAAGCAGCTTCTTAACTAAGACCTTGTGATGTTGAGTGATGTTGAAGCCACAACATTAGGGAAGTGGCGCGTGAAACATATTTCAGCATAATACTTACTGGAGAGTACCTGTGGTGCCACCAAGGGGCAGGACCACTTGCTGGACCACTTGAGGGGCGTTGTCATGCTGGGGCGTGGTGTTCTTCACGCCCGGTGTAGCATTGGACACGCTGTCAGCTTCGACTTCCATGTGTGGGCCTCAGTCAGGCTACTAGTCAGCCCTACAAGTACTCAAGAGCTACATGGCTCCAACTCTCTCTCCAACAGCGAGATACAAGCATTTGTTTCAAAAACATGTCTGCCGACCTGGCTTACATATAGGTGAGAGGGTAGACAAAGCGCTCTCTTCCACGGCTTGTCCATCTGATCTACTCCTTGGAACATTTCCTTTCGCTGGGCGCTTGGACGACCACAGGCTCTTTCCAGCGAAGTTACAAGAGGGCTCTTGGCATGGAACTTTAGCTACTTGCGCGAGGTTGTAGAATTGTTGCTGATCGCCTTTGCCCTCATGCAAGATGTGCTACCTCGTGCCGCCCCTCGGCTTGCACGGTATGCATTCCAGGACAGAAGAGAACCTCACAACAGCAACGCAAAAAGCTGCAGATTGTGAAGCATCTGGCCTGACGACTGCCTGTGACTGGTGAGAGGTCGTGAAAAATGACGCAAGGAAAAGCAAAGGAAGCTGTGAGCAAGCCCACACAGGTGACTCTCCCTTCATTTCAAATTCCGAAACCTAAGTATCGAACATTCACCATCCCAGAG